TAATATTTAAAATATATTAACTGTGATGCAATATTTTACATCCAAATATCAAGAAATTACACTGATTTGAAGGAAATTTAAAAAAATACTGAAATTCTTTTCAACACTGAATTCTGTTACAAGTTAATAATTTCTTTCTGCAAATATATTTTTGGAGATGAATAATCAATTTGAAATTTTAAAGATTTGGCTGTAATTTGATGACATTAATATCCTATTAAAATAGCAATGAATTGTTTATTGGATCAAAATAAAAGTCTAATCTACAAACCCATTATTTCCTTTTTCCTTCTTATGATTAAATTTTGCTCAGTATGTATGTATACAGTTTTTGTTGGGTATAAAAGCATTTTTCCTATCCTATTTTCCCAACAATGACACTGAGAGAACAAAAAAGGGAAAAAAGCTTTCTGAAAAATGACAGTGCTACACAGATGTGAGATGTGAGCTATTATCAGTCTTGTCCTTAATATCAAAAGGCTATCTTGACCTTGAGGAAATCAAGAAAAGATGAATTAACCAAAGGTCCTCCATTGCTCCCTCTCCTGTAGAAACCTTACTCTCATTTACCAATTCAATCATATCTCTTTTCATCCATCTATTCAGGGAACAGCAGATTTCAGAGACCTATAGGATTGCTTTTTTTTTTTTATTTTAAGCCAGCACAAAAGAAAATTGAACAACCACTTTCTTTAAAATGACCTGTAAATAGCCATACTTTCTGTATTTCGAGGAAAATTTTCTTGATATTTAAGGCCCATTTTTAAACTCCTGTTTTCTCTAAAATACACTAAAACAAAACACTAATAACAAAAGTATCTCCTACTTGGAAACTGAAAATTAATTCTTTGTTAATAAATATTGTGTTTTGGTTTTGCATCAGTAGAAAAGGCAGGGTCTTATATACTTCTTGTTGTTGTTATATAACATGAAGTTGAATATGACTCAAAGATCCTGTCGACAACAGATCTGAATCCTGCTCTAGCTTGTAGGATTTTCATCATCTCTAACACACTTGGCCCATTGCTTCACTCACTGTGTAAATTGATCTGGTTCAGGGTCTTCTTATCTTAGATCAATGCTCTGGTTTACCGAGCATCATGTCCTCCAATAAATCAATTATATGAGGTGAAGCTTCCTTGCCTCCAAGGAACATTCTAGCTGTACTTTAGTTTGTCTTTTTGGTAGGTCATGGGATAGTCAGTATTCTTCAGTAACACAACTCAAAGGTGTTAATTCTGCCATTCTTATTCATCGTTCAAGTCTTAGATGTATAGCAAGTGATCGTAATGTAGTGGCCTCAATTAGGCTCGCCTTAGTCTTCCAACTGGCATCATTGCTCCTTAGTAATTTGGAGAAGTCCCTAACAGCAGACTTTCCCATTGAAATATGTCTCCTAATCTCCTGACTGCAGGTACCATTGGTACTGATTGTGGTTCCAAGCAAGACGAAATTGTTGACAACTTCCTGGTGAAGATGTTTGTATTTTTGGTGTTGAGTTACCATAAAATTGAAGACAAAAGTATTTACTCTTTCCTTACTTTCAACAAGTATGGTATGTCATCTGCACCGTTGACTGAATCTGCCACCTTTAATTAATAGGGAACTGTTTAAAAAAGCTACTTGTGGCAAGCTCTGGTGGTCTAGTGGCAAGAAGGTGTACTGCAATACCAGAGGTGCACGGTTCAATTCCACTAGATGCTTTGCTGGAGAAGGAGGAACAATCTCCTCCTGTACCAGTCAGATCTGATTTGACAGTACACACACACACACAAAATAATAAACTAAAATTTAAAAAAATAAAAAAGCTACTTGTTTGCAACAATATGTTGTTGTTGTTATTGATTGTTGTCGAGTCGAGCCAGAACTCTTAGTGACTCTATGAACAAAAGATCTTTGCATAACTATCATTATTTCTCCAAGTTCATAGTTTCCAGGAGAATGTGGTTTCGAAAGTGGATGCCACTCCTGCTTCCAAATCTGTTTTACAACTGGTATCTCCACCAAACACTGTCCACATTGGGAAATCATTATGGTATTTGATACCCCAATGGCACAAGGTTCAGCATCACAGAAAGCCCCGGTTAGTTCATACAGCACATTGACAAAGTGATGTACAAACTGGAAGAGTTCCTCCAGCTATAACAGCATTAGTCTCATTTAACGGTGGTTAAATGTCATCAAGTCGAATATGACCCCTAGTGACCTTTGCACAAAAGACCAGAAGTCTCTTATATAAATAACATCTTTTCTGTACATTTATAGAGCTTATTGAGTTTCCAAAAGAAGTGGATGCCACTCCTGCTTTCCAACCTGAATCAATCTGGAAGCTCATCCAAACATTGTAAATAATGGGTAACCATTATGGTATTTGACACGATTATGGCATAGTGTTTAACATCACAGTAACTCCAAGTTGTTTAGTACAGCAAATAGACAAATGATTACTGTGTCATCTAAAGAATATTCATTCTAAAATTCATAAATTTGGCTAAATGGCCAGGGCCCCACAGGATTTTAAAGACACACCCTTTAGCAGGCCTCCATCCTTGATCAAAGGTTTGAGGGACACTCACTTTTGGGGGGAAAAAGAACAGTAACACACATCAAACATGACCTAAAAGTAGAGTAAAATGAAGTTCTTTTAATTTATGACCTAGAGAAGTTTAAAAAGAATGAACAGTAGACTGGAGCAGAAGTGAAACAGCAAATTAGAACCTAGAGCATTATATAATTCTGATTTTCCCTTTACCATGTCACTTAGGGGAAAAAATGTGCTTAACTCTTTCTAGTTTCTTGTTTTGTTTTGTTTTGGTTTAATAATTTTAATAAATATTTACAGAGATTTTGGGTTTCCATTCATTCATTGCTATACTTCTCTCCCCGCCCAGCCCTCCCTCCCACACCAGTATGCTCCTCTCTTTGAAAAGTAAAATAAACACTCTCTCCCTGGTACATAAGGGTTCCAGTTTCTCCACAACCTCGCCAACATTTGTGGCTTGCTGTTCTGTTAAGTTTTGCTATTCTGACTGGGGTGAGATGATATCTCATAGTTGTTTTAATTTGCATCTCTCTTAGAGCTAGGGATTTTGAACATTTCTTCATGTGCTTGTTAGCTATCTGAATGTCTTCTTCAGTGAAGTGCCTGTTCATATCCTGTGCCCATTTTTCAATTGGATTATTTACCCTTATCTTGTTGTGGTGCTCAAGTATTTTATAATTCTAGATATAAGTCCCTTATCTGACATGTCATTACCAAATACTTTTTCCCAGTCTGTGGCTTCCCTTTTTACCCTATTGTAGAAGTTTTTGGATGTAGTTTCTTGTTTTAATTACCAAAAATAGTTGCCTTCATGTTGATTCCAACTCATGATAATCCTATGTTTGCCGAAAATAACTGCATTCCACGGGGTTTTCAAGGCTGTGAACTTTTGGAAGCAAATCACCACACCTTTCTTCCAATGACACTCTGGCTGTATGAGCTGTGAACATTTTGATGAAAAGTCAAGTGTCTAACCTTTGTGCTACCCAGGAACTCCTTGTTTAAATTATGTTGTCTAATACTCTGGGATGTTCTGTGATGTTAATATGATGCAAATGCTTGAATTTTTTCTCAAGCAAGAGTACATTGAACTGTCAGCTAAAGACTGGATGTTCAATCCAACATAGATTCCCATTATATGACAGCTCTGGCAGTGTTCTTTTTAAAAGTAACATCTTTCAAAACCCTTCAACCCTGGAACTAACTCACTCCTACTACACAACAATAGTCTTGGTGAATAATAACAAGAGGATGTAGGCATTCCTTGCAACAGTCAATAATATAAGCTCAAAGGGGCATATTTGTCCAGGGTTAAAGCTTAGAAGATTAAAAAAAGGATGTGAAAGGACAAAGAGAAATTGAAAATACAAGAAGGAAGTGAAATAAGTGCAATTACATTGTGAGGGTTTCCGTCTAGAAAAACTTTTATGAAGTAGTTTAAATGTAAAACTCTTTCACTATGCAAATATTCACCCAAAATTATTTTAAAAAGTTATAAAATATAAAAATTCTTATGGAGTCATTCTACTATGAATACATGGGATCATATGAGACAGAATTGAGTTATTGGCAACAACAGAAATTATATTGATAGAAATGTATAAAAATGTTAGCACGTTCACTCAGTAGAATGGCTAAGGATATTGCTAGCTATTGGGATGTGTACCACAGACACAGTAAAAAATAAAGCAAACAACATCAACAAAAATAAACTTTGCTGTCACAGAGGTTACATCCAGATTAGAAAAGCCAAACAACAAAAATAACAAAAATGCCTATGAAGTCAGATAGTGGAAAGTGATACAGAGGGAAAAAAAAAACCCCACAAACCCTCAAGAAATGGAATGCAGTTCTAAGAAGGTAAGAAAATCACAAAACAGAAGCTTTGCTGGGGAAGAAAACTACTTGTGAGGACAGAACCAAAGAAGATGAGCAGATGTGCACTTAGAACATAGCAGCAAGAGGGACCACCAAATAGGTAGATAAAAGCAAGGAAGCTCAAGGAAGGACAAAGTGAGAACAGAGTAGAATAAGTGACAAGGGTAAAAAAAGAAGAAGAAAAAGAAGAAAAAAAAAGGTCAGAGGGCAAAATATCTTGTCGAGATTCTTGGCCACTTTTTTTCCCCCCCTGATTAATTTTAATGAAAATTTACAG